GCGAGTGTTATAAAACGTTCGCCAAGCGTTGGTGCGTTCATCAGCGGTATTGAACTCCCGAGCATCAAGAGCGGTAAGAACGGCAGCTGCAGTTCGAAAAGTCGTGGGTACAGTAGTTGCACGAAAATCAATATCAACTTGTTGATCATCTGTTTCCCAGATGATCCCAGGAACCGAGAGCAAGGACGCGGTCAGAATTGCCCGAGGTGCCCTGTGCCGTAAACTGAAGAACGGATGCACCATGTTGAGTAGCAGCGCGACCGAGGTAAGTGTTTGTCAAATTGTGCCATAACTCCTGATCCATTGTATCACAATTGCCTTGTGTGCGAATCTTGTGTGCCAGGAGCTGAGCTGTAGAGAGAAGATTGAAACCAAGGCCGGCGATAATAAGAACGTTGGTAACATGTAAGGAATATCCCGTGTCGACGGACTCGAACATTACACTCCCGATTGATCTGGCCATGATGGTTTTTCCGTTTGCAAATGTTACAGGTATCGGACGACGAAGTGGTCGCTGATTGGTGATGAAGCTTGTTTCAGCGGAGCACATATGTCAACCACAACAGCTGTCGAGATACCAAGTATTGGGTCCTGAAATGACTCGAGCAAGGTTAGCGTAAACTTGCGGTAAGGGAATGCCCTCTGCACTGGTGGTTTCTTCAAGTTGTGTCTCGAAATCGGTATCTGAAACATCAACTGTCGTAACACATCCAAAAACTCCTTTGCCTGATGTTGCAGATGGAAAAACTGGAGGACGATGCTGTAATGAAGGTGTATTCTGCGGTGGTTTCTGCATCTGCTGCGTCTGTGATGTTGACTGCTGCGTTGGCGGATGTGACTTCGATAACTGCTGCGATCGATGATACGGTTGCGAAGAACTGCGACGGTTTTGATGTCGACTGCAACAAGTTTGGTAAGTATGTCCTGGTTTCTTGCAGAAATGACAGAAGGGATACTTCGGGGGAAGCCGTTGCTGCGGCTCTGGATTTGAGTAAAAAATCAATTGTACCTCCTTTTCCTAATTGCGCTGTGACTGCAGGTCAAGATCTTGTTGTTCTGCTTGAAGATACGAAGAAATGTCGGCTTCGGAGAGATTCGGGTTCATGCGCAAGAAGGCGCGCGTCTGTCGCCACTCGGACCAAGTCCAGCAAGAAGGACCGTGAGATACATCTCACGAGGAAAGTATCCACCACTCTTCTCCAATTGATCTCGTAGTGTGCGTACACGATTGACGTAATCCATGACATTCTCGTTGGTCATCATCTGCATTTTTGTCAGCTGCGAAACAATCTTACTCACTGTGATTGTATCCTTTGCCATGTACACCCCCTTTAAGTAGTTCCATGCGGTTTTTAGTTGGCGTAAAGCTGGAATGAAAAGATCGAACGCCGAGTTGCTCCTTTGCTGATAAGTTTCGAACGAGAACCGTATACGCCCCGAGAGAGGCGTGCAAGAAACTCTGCTACTCCAGTTGTGTTCCCGTAACAGGATATGTGAACTCGCCGGTGAAGAACGGCCATAGCCCGGCAGACTGCGCCAGAAGTTCAAAATCGAAGCTCCTGCAGTAAAAATCAACTCCGTTAAAAGGTATAGTGGTCTTAATCTATATGCTGTTAAGCAAATTCGGCAGCTGAAAAACAATACCCTGTTGTTGAGGCTGTTCCTGTTGTTGAAATTGCTGTGGATGTTGCTGCTGTTGCTGCTGATGCTGCTGTTGATGCTGCTGTTGTTGTTGCTGAGCAGGTGAATGCCAAAGATGTAAAAGGGGTGCTGCTGCTGAGACTGCGGCTGCTGAGTAAAAGGTGAGAATGCAAATGAGCCAGTACTTGGAGTTGGAGCTCCACGCATGTAACTTGAACCGTCAAGTCTCATTCCACTAAACGCCGACGATATTGACTGAGTTGAAAACTGCTGTGTTGTTGCCTGTTGTTGTGTTGTTGCCTGTGTTTACTGTTATTGCGCTGCAGGGGCAATCGATGAAGTCCCTGGAGTATTAACAGAAGAAGGATTTTGCTGCTGCTGCTGCATACCGATGTGCGCATAAGCCGGTGGAAACGGTGAAGAGGCTGAGAGATCAGTGGCAGTCGAGGAGACAGATACTCCAATAGTTCCGAAAATAGATCCGGTAGATTGTGCTGGTGTTGTTCCAGTCATTGTTGACAGTAGTCTTAATCCTAGACAGCTCTCATACCATGTAATAATTTGACAGGTGTAGCAGGAGACTAAGTATAGAATCTGCAAACACGAACACTTGGAAAACCTCAAGTGTTAGCCTAGGATCTTTACTGGAATGGTAGACTAGTAAGACAGCGGAAGTCTTAGAACTTTTAGAGAAGTAACCAGAATTTACTGAAGAAGAAGTTCAGAATCAAGTCCTGAATCCAGGCCCCCAAATTGGTTTTGGGCTTGTCTGATTCATCAGACTTGCCTGCCATCTCTTGGTATGGCTTCAGAGTCGCCCCTTAAAAAAAGTCTGAAAAAATCAGAGTAACAATAATTTATTTGTCTGATTAATCAGAGTTACCATTGTTTTAGCTATGATTTCAAAGTTACTGTTTTGCACGTTACTTTTCCATTCCCTTCCCAACCGCTGCCCCTCAGACTTCTCCCTTGAGGGGCTTTCACTCGCGTGCGCTACCTATCTGTGTTCTGGCGGCGGCGCGGAATTTCGTGGCGCCCTAGGCCCGGCCCCGCGCCGGTGCGGGTGTGGTTGATCAGCGAGGCTCATGGCGAGGCTGTGCTGTACTGTACAGCGCACTTGCCAGGCCCGACAGAAGTTTTTTTTTACTTTTCTAATCTCCCAGACAGACTGACATACGAATTTAAAAATTTAGATGAGTCTTTCACGAGTTTCTATCCCTCCCCTCCCGTTCCTTGTCTAGTAATTTTGCGTGCCTGAGGCACGCGACGATGTCGGTTGGTGGAGATACGGATCGTGGCGAATTGCGAATGGGGGACGAAATCGAAGGATGGGGCGGAAAGGAATTGGGGGGTGGGCAAATCAAATTGCAGGGAGGTAGGGAAATTGGGGGCATCCAGGTGGCTATTTCGTGAAGGGCCAATGGGCGCCCTCGCACACACAGCCCGCGGCACACCTCTGCAAATTTTTCGAAGGGCCAATCGGCCCCTCACACCGCACGCATCACAAACTGGGAGGTGATTTTGGTAAAGGACCAGTCAGCTCCCTCACACAGCCCCCAGTACGCATTGGCGTTGATTTGGGTGAAGGGCCAATAACTGCCCTCACAAAGCCCCAACACGCATCTCGCCTGATTTTGGCTAAGGCCAATCAGCGCCCCCCCACAGGTAAATCACGCTCCCCCCTAAACCTGGCATTACACAAATCAGAGTCGACCCCCCATACAGAGTTGAGGCATCAGAGTACACTAGTAAAAAACGTCTGAAAAATCAGCGTAGGTACATAAATCTTCTCTGAAAATCAGAGTAGGGTACAAAAAAAGTCTTCCCAATCACAGTACACCCCCAAAAAAACTCTGAAAAGGTCTGAATCAGAGTAAAAATTCTGCAATTTGGGGGCCTGCCTGAATCACATTAACCAAGATTACAAGTTTTTACAAGTTAACTAAACAATGAAGACAGGCTACTTTATATCTAACAGAAGTACCTGTTCGCTAATGTATCTGTTGATACTATCGCGCTATGTGCGTAAATGACACTGAAGAGATGCGATTGTTCGCGTGACTGAAATGACTGTCCTCATGACAAGCGCTATTTGCTGACGTCATCCTACGGACTTATCTTCTACAGTAGGATTCGACACTATCTATCGATAATCGACTTACAGAAATGCTAAGTATTATTGGGCTGAGAAAGCCCTTAGGATCTTTTGCAGGACTAAGTCCCAGCTGTAGAGACTTTCAGACTTTGAGTAGTGCAGCGGAGGTTGAAGCAGTTGAACCCTTGTACTAGTATGTGAGAACAAGTGATTAATTGAAGAAACAAGCATACAGCAATATATAGAAGATAGGAAAGCAGTTGTAGAATACAGTTACAGGAACGGTTTATCGAGTCGCACAGCGACTCGATTGCCGCTTCGGTTACCATCCGTGATGTTGTAACGGTCAGTCGCGACCTCCAGTTGCGACCTTTCGAGTCTTTTCGCATTCTTTGTCCGCCCCCTCGTGGAACCTCCGTTGACTCGCGTGCTCCCCTGTAATCTCCTCGAGTACATTGTTACACTTCAGAAACGCTCAAGTCCTTTGAGATATTTCCAACAAGTATGATCATATCACAACACATCGGACATATGGGATTCGAGTTGGATGAGGGAATATTATGCAAGAAAACAAGTAGTTCACCAACCAGATCAAAAACAGTAATTGATTTTTGATTTTTAAAAGTTATTTTACATCTGTTTATTGCCCAGATTTTGTGTCAAAGGGTAACCGAGTTTTGATTTAAATAATTTCATTATGATTCCCTCAAAATTTACTCAGATTCACTTTTATGAATGATGGTTGTGTTTGCGCTGGATAGCAAAAGCTTATAGATGTATTCGCAATATTGAGAAGCTTTTCGGCTAGGCGAGAACCTCGGGAATTTAGGTTTGGTACCGGTTCGGCTGCGGTTCGAGTCAGCCACGGATGGCGAGGTTTTCGTTGGGGAAAAGCGCAGCGAGACGTTTTCCTTTTTGCGGGGGCAGGACCGGAACTTCGCTGGACAGATTTTTCAAGGCAAATCGAGCGGAGAAGATACCATTTTGGCATCGCAAACCCTGCCCGGAACTCTCCGCAAGTTCGCTCTCGAAATCCTAGAAAGCGTTGCGTTCGCGCCTAGTGGGCGCAGAGCCCAGAAGTTATCGAAGGCAGTCGCGCAGCAACCCACGCCTGCCAGCCTGCCAGACCCTGCATTCTCATCAGCCTCTCACTTTTCCCTGCCTCGAGATTGCTCCACACCCACCTCTCGTCGTGTGGCTGCAAGCTTTGTCTACATAAACCAGCACTTGAACCTGTTTCATCTTCGTGCTCTGCACTTGCTCCCATTTCTTCTTCGTCCTCTCGTCTTGCGCTGGCTCTCCTGCCTCGAGCAGTAGTCGTGACCGTCTCGCAGAACCTCTCCTGCTTCATTAGACTCTTAAACTCGCAATTCCAAAGAAGGTCCGAGCTTCGCTAGCTATCGCGCTAGAGTCGCGAATGGACTCTTGCTTGGTCATGGACAGCTGGACAGTAGCGCATGCCGCCTTCTCGTGCGATTCGCTGGCGAATTCGACCAGCGAAGGCCATGTTGAAAGGCCCTACCAGGACGGCAAGCTAGAAGGTAAGCATTCTGAGTACTTCGTGACGCGAAACATACTTCAACCGGTTTTTCCAACCCCACGTGAATAACAACAACCATCCTCTTCGACTCCCCTTCCCTCCCTCTCTCTTCTCCGCTTTTCAGCACCCCTTGTAGTTTCAGGTAGAGGCGAGAGCGAGTTAGGTTAGCACGCAAGTGCCAACCGTTTCTCCGTCGCGTTTGTTCTTGCAGGTCTCGTCACGGCATCGTGGTACGCGCCGTCCCCCGCGTCCACCTCGCCGTCCCAAACCCCGCCGTTTAAGATCGCCCTTGTCGCCTCGTCGGACGACTCCGTTTCGTCGCTCGATTCGTCGCTCTCCGCCTCCGGAAACTCCGCCGCCGCTGTCGCGAGATCCGCGAAACCGCCGCTGCTATAGCTAACGCGCCTGCCCCCCGCTTGCGGGTCCGCGTCCGCTGGTTCTGAACGCGTACGATGGCGTGCTCGACCGCGATCAATTCGAAAGACTTGGCGAGTTGGGGCGCGGCGGGTTCGGCACGGTGGAGCGGATGCGGCGAGTGGAGAGCGGCGAGGAGGTGGCGGTGAAGAAAGTGGCGCGCGCGCAGCTGGCGGCCGCGGCGAACGAGGCGATGATGGCGGCGTGGGTGAGCGCGTGCCCGAGCGTGGTGGGCGTGCGTGAGGTGCACCTGAGCGAGCAGCACGGGTACCTGCTCTCCGACGTGTGCTCTGGCGGCGACCTCCGAGGGCTCCTGGAGCGACGCAAGGCCGCAGCCAGCAACGCCACGGGAGGAGGTGGTGGGGAAGGGCAGCGGGAAGGGGGAGAGGCGGGGACTGGCGGAGAGGAGGCGCTGGAGGTGCTGAAGCATGTGGCGAAGCAGTGGCGTTCTGTCACGAGCGGGCGTGGTGCATCGCGACATCAAGCCCGATAACATCCTCCTCGCCAGAGACCTCTTCTCGCCCACGCCGTCTGCTGCCGCCGCCGTTGCCGCTGCTCCTGCTGCTGCCCGACCTCTCCCGCTGCCCGATCTGCGCCTCTCCTCCCGCCTGCCTCCGGCGCCTGGAAGCGGGGCGGTGCGGCTGGCGGACTTTGGGTTGGGCAGCTGGTGGCGGACGGGCAGCGCGGGTGCACCGCTCCTGCAGGCACGCCGGGTACCTCGCGCCTGAGGTCCTCGCCCTCTGCCGCCGCCTCCGCTGGCGCGGGGAAGCGGCGAAGCAAGGGAAAGAGGCGCAAGGAAAGGGAAAACAACGAACACAGAAGCGGCAGGGTATGGGTATGCGGCGACGTGTGGTCGTTGGGCGTGATGCTGTACGAGATGATTGCGGGCGAGCGGCCGACTCGGTGATGCGCCTCAGGATGGGTCGTGGTGGGTGCGCGTGGAGGGAGCGCGTGGGAGGGCGTGTCGGAGGAGTGCAGGCGCTGGTGAGCGGCATGCTGCGAGTGTGCGCGGCGGAGAGGCTCACCATGGCAGGTGTGCAACCACCCGCGCTCATCCGTGCGCGAGGGGGGAGTGGCGGGGGAAGGGGGGGAAGAAATAGCGGGAGGTGGTGGTGTAATGGGTGTGATGGGAGGGAGGCGATCAGTGGATGGGCGTGCGGATGGGTGGGGAGCAGCAGAGGGACAGCACAGGCATGGCCGGGGGCATGGGAGGTGGGGAGAGTGGGATGGTACGTGGAGCAACACTTTTTGCACCCTGCCTGTCAGGGTTTTGGGAATGCTGGTTTGCTCTGGTGGATGAGTGGCACTGCTACACGCGGCCTTGCTGCTTGCTTCCTTGCTGACTTTCTGCTTATCCGCTCGCCTCCATTTGCTCGGGTCCTTCAAGGATTGAAGGATTGAGGCTGGTATGTGGCTGCAGGGCTGATACTCGCATAGATTAGCTCTTCCAGTAGGCTCATTTGTTTAGCTAATCTATATATTGTAACGTGTCGTTCTATAAAATTGTGTTGTGGCTTGTTCCTGAAAGCTGCCATGTCACACCCATCCCTTCCCTCCGCTGTGCCCTTCTCTCCTCTCCCTTCCTCTTCACCCATTTCCCATTTCCGCCCCCCCTCTTTGTCACTCCCCGCGTGCCCTCGTGCCACACTTGGCATTTATATGCATGCATGGCATTGCCAAACCGTGCCAGTACGCATTTCCCCTTTCCACGTCCACGCACTCACTCTCACACCGCCACGTTTCCAGACATGCTTCCTTAGCCCCTCGCCACATTCCCTTGCTTGCTTCCCTGTCCAGGAAAACTGTTTCCGTTCCTCTTACCTTTTCCTTTCTGTTTTTTCTGTTCCCATGCCCCCTTGGCCTTTCGCCAATCTTCCCACCTAGTCTGTTCCCCTTCCCCTGGACCTCTCCCCTCTTCCCTTTGATCTCCTATGTTTCGTCCTCCCTCGACATGCTAAACCAATCCCTAGTCAGCCCCTCCCTTTCCTGAAATTTCCCCTTTTTCTTGGTCGGTTCCGTTCCTCTGCTCATTTCTTCTTCCCCTCTCCAATTTGACCCTTCTCCTGAATTTTCCCATCCCCCCAGCCCAGCCATAGGCTGAAGTGCGCAGATCGCCTTCACGCGGGTGCATGGAGGCCTGGGTGGAGCGCCCCCAGGGCAGCTCTGCTGCTTGTATTGTAAGTACAACTGTCATTCCGAAGATGCCGTCAGCATGCCATTGTTAGATTGTCATATTTCATTCTGAGAGCCCTGCCGGTTTTTCGTTCAGTGGGTTATTCCTGGATGGCACCTCTGCTCTTGCATGCATGCTTGATGAGGTGGTCACACGCGTGAGTCATGGGCATGGGCATGCATCAAGCCATGGCATGCATCAAGTCATGGGCATGCATCAAGTCATGGCACGCATCAAGTCATTGGCATGCATCAAGCCATGGGCATGCATGATGCTGCAATGAAGGGGAGTTGCAGTACTGAAGCAGGTGCTGGCTGAAACCAGTGCCCGCGGACTGAAAGTGGACAAGGGAATGTCTGTTCCTTAACCAGAGGGGAATGACTAATGGATACAGTGAAGGGGCTGGCAGCAGCGGAGGCAGGATTTGCTGAGTACCAAAAGCTGGCTGGAGGTGGAGGGAAAGTGCAGCAGCAGATGAGGAGATGGCAGGGCCAAGCATGGCGCAGGAGGAGAGCTTCCTTGCCTTAGTCAAATTAAGCAATTGTGAGTGTAGAGCAGGGCATCAGATTGGTTTGAGGTACCCTGATTGCTCAGGGTGCCTATTTTCACAGTAAATTACTCTGATCTCTGATTTTCAGAGTTAATTTTGTGTACCACCCTTATGTCAACTTATACATATCATGCATGTAGAAGTTATAGGCTAGTATCGGTGTGTGCTCTTAGTGAGTACAACCCAACTGCTATATGTTCCCTGTTTCCCTCTAGTAATTCATTCACGTAATCTAACATGGTATCGAGTAGGTTAGGTTCACCCGCCCGCTTCCGCCCGCCCCTAGTCTCTCGCCCCCCCTAGCCGGCCCCCTGGCCGTCGCGTCCGCCCTAGCCGCCCCCTGGCCGTCGCATCCGCCCCTAGCTGGCCCCCTGGCCGTCGCGTCTGCCCCTAGCTGGCCCCCCTGGCCGTCGCGTTCGCCCCAAGTCGGCCCCTTGGTCGTCGCGTCCGCCCTAGTCGGCCCCCTGGCCGTCGCGTCCGCCCCTAGCCGGCCCCTTGGCCGTCGTGTCCGCCCCTAGCTGGCCCCTTGGCCGTCGCGTCCGCCAAAGTCGCCCCCTGGCCGTCGCGTCCGCCCTCAGCTGCCCCCCTGGCCGTCGCGTCCGCCCTAGCTGGCCCCTGGCGTCGCGTCCGCCCTCAGCTGCCCCCTGGCCGTCGCGTCCGCCCCTAGCTGGCCCCTTGGCCGTCGCGTCCCCCAGCCGGCCCCTGGCCGTCACTCCGGCCCCAGCCGGCCCCCTAGCCGTTTGCGCCCGCTCCTAGCCGGCCCCCTGCCGTTCGCGCCCGCCCCTAGCTGACCCCACTGGCCGTCGCGCCCGCTCCTAGCTGACCCCCCTGGCCCCACGCGCCCGCTCCTGACCGGCCCACGACCGTCGAGCCCGCTCCTAGCCGGCCCAGCAGCGTCCGCGCGGCCCCTCCTCGTGCCTGCCCGGCCCCAGTCGCGCCTGCCCGGCCGCCCGCGCGTGCTAGCCCCTCCTAGCGCCTGCCCGGTCCCAGTGCGACCGCCCGGCCCCTCCTCGTGCCTGCTCGCCTGCCGTGCCACCTCGGCCCCGTGTCCTCTGCTAGCCCGCGCTGGGGCGCCCCTGCAGCCGCCCTACTGGAGAGTGCTGCCGCGTGTCCCCGTGCCGATGTGCTCCTGCGAGCTGTGGAGCTGTGCTGTTGTGTCACTGAGGAGTGTATCGCTGACCCTGCACGATGGCTGACTTCGTGGTCCGCCTGGACGCTGAGGGCCACCTGCTCCCTCCCTGCTGACCCACCTCCGCTGAGAGTGAGCTTTCTCTACTGCTGCGCTTGCCTGTGCGGTCTGGGACTCCGCGATGCAGTAGCTCAGTCTATCAGTCACGCCTCCCTGTGTCTGAGCGCTCGCGTTTCGCTACGATTGATACGGCCAATCTTATTTAGACGCTGTTGTTGCTTGCTATTCCACGCCTGCATCCTCTTCCCGATGCTGTTCCCAGACTTGCTGCCTTCCTACTGTTGCAGACTTTGCCACTCACTTCGCGCCCTAGAGTCTCGCTACGCACTGCTAGCACTGCTGCCCAGCACACGTCTCCCCCCCCCATTCTGCATGACCCTTATTTATCGCCATGCGCCTGCCGGACGCCTAGCTAGTGCCCGCGACCGCTTCCTTAGCCTGCACCCGGGTGACCTTACCTGACCGCCTTTGTCGACACCCTC